CTCCTCTCCCACACTCCCCTCCACATACCCACCCACCACCATAAGCACAAACCCAGACAATTAAAACATCTTCAAAGCAGACACAAATTTCTTAGAGGACAAAGCTGAGGTTCTGTGGAGGAACCACAGGAAGGGGCAAGGCATTCAAAGTACCACAACTTCCTGTTTCTTTTCTTTTTGGTTTTGGCTTTTGTTTTTGAGATTTCTCTTTGACCCTGGGACTTACTAATTCAGCTACAGGGAGCTTCAGGAATGTGCCATAAAGCATCTCTCCCAAGTACTGCTGCTACAGATATGCGCTGTCCCACCAGTTGGCTCTTACATGGGCGCTGGGGACCAGACCCAGGTCCTCAAGCTTGTAAAACAGGCTGTTTAATAACTGAGCCATCTTCTAAGCCCCAAATGTCACATTGTCTAATGCTCAGCTGGTGGGATGGGGGTCAGCATTCTAGATGCCTGAGCTAAGCTTCCCAGCACTGGGGAGCATGGGTTACAGGTGTGTGTGTGTGTGTGTGTGTGTGTGTGTGTGTGTGTGGACCCTTCATCTCTGGAGAGACCTGGCACAGCCTGGCCCTGTCATAATCCATGACAATGGCAGTTTACCATGCAGTGTCATGAAGATCAGCAGAGGCATTGCCTAAGGGCTTTTTCTTCCCAGCACTGAGCAGGGAGTGCACAAGAACTCCCATCCTAACAAAGAATCTATCTCTCTGCAATTGACAACAACTTGAAAAGGAAAAAATTACTTTTTTCCAATCAAGTCTCACTGGATATACAGACTACACTTAAGGGTGAATAACACAAAATGACAAAACAAACTCAATGGCATTGTTTGGGCAGGGTTTGTTGTTGATTTTTAATCTTACTGATACTTTACCTTTATGTTATGGTTTCTGAGTTTTTGTTTTTGTTTTCAGTGTGTGTGCTGTGTGTGTGTGTTTCTGTACTTTTTTCTTTTCTTTCTTTCCTTTTATTTTTAAATTCTGGTTTGTTTGTTCATTTGTCTGTTTGTTTTCCAAAGAGAGAAGAAGGTGTGGGGTTGGTTGGATCTAGGAGGAGATGGGGACAGGAAAATAATGATTAGAACGGTTGTAGCATGAATTTTCAATTAGAAAAAGAATTTTCTCTTCTGAATCAGTGTTGGTTCTATTTTATTGACTAGCCTAAGGTTTTAATTGAGGCAAGCAAGGTGGCTCAATAGGCCAAGGTGCTTGCTGCCAAGCCACGGGCCCTGAGTTCAATGTCTAGGTTCCATGTGATGGAAGGAGGGAACAGGGTTCCCGTAAGTTGTCCTCTGACTTGCCCATGTGTATACTCACGTACATGTATTCACACACACAATGAAAGATAAACGTAATAAAAAGTATTGTGATTGAAACTATTACAAGTCTGTACGTTACTTGGGGATGCTACCTATCTGCATGCAGCATGGGAACACCTTCGCACCCAAGAACAGTCTTCCCTCACTTACTCAGGCTGGGTATGACTCCATGAAGCTTTCAAGTTTCTTTATAAAGGCATGCATTTCTTATTAGATTTGTTCCCATGGTGAATCTTAAAATAATGCTTGATTGCTATTACGACCCTTTTTTAAAAGCAACACAGAGCTTTCTGGCCTTCCCCAGCCTTCTCTGTGCATCAGAAATTTATCCTGAGTTCTAGAAAGATCTCTCCATTGCCTCCTGCCTATTTTAACTTGGCCTTGGAAAACTTCCCTAACCTTTCTTGCTTGCTTTGTTATTATTTTGACCTTGTCATGAGAGATAGAACCTTCTTATGCATTCCAGGCTGGCATTGAACTTACAGGTGTGCAGCACCATGTTTGAAGAACTACTGCTGTGATCTCACAAAGCTGCTCTGCTTTTCTTAATGCTGGGCTGGGCCCTCATGGCCTACCTTCCCTGTCCATTTTTCAGGTTCATTGTCAAGACAGCAATTATGATTCATATAGTGGCATTGTGCTTCTGACCCCCTGGGAATGGAGAGGATGGTGGTGGCCCTTTTACAATGGGCCTTTAAATTAATGCAGGTTGTATAACCATTATCTAAATGCATAGGACTAGAAGTATTTCAGATGTTGACACCAGGGATGCTCAATCAGTGAGTGCTGCAGCTGTATTTTATCCTATCTCTATCTACAAAGATGGAAATGTGTTGGGTTCCATGCTCTTTGCTATGCTTTCCTTGATTGTTCTGATCAAGGAAATGATTGCAAACAAAATTTCCACAGCAGTTACTCAGTGAGGTCTTCATTCAGCTGCATTTTGAGTCCAATTGCTCACTAAGGACTTGAAAGCTGAAGGGTCGTCATGATTGCCTATCAAGGGTTTCCTTACCTCCCGGCCCCTTCCAAGCCTTTCTCTGTAGTGCTGTTGAAGGCAGTCATTCTCAGAAATGCTGTCTGCTTCTGTCTCTCCTGTGATGAGGCCTGTTCGGGAGCCACTGAGCTGCAGGGGCCATGTGGGCTTCTTAGTAATACCCAAGGTTTCGTTGCTCACTGCAGCTGTGCCCCCCCCACCTCCACCCCCAGTGTTGTGCCTCACATCTGTGTCTCCCTGACACGCTTCCTTCTGTGAGAACCTAACTTGGACAAATGCCTTGATTATTCCAGTACACTTTTATTTTCTCTTTTCTCTGTGCTTTTCTCCTGGACTTTATTCTTCTGTCTTAGTTCATTCATTCATTCATTCACTCATTTATTCAGCAGGGTCAGGCTGTATATCTACCAGTGAGTAAAACAGATGCAATCTCTCCCTGCCCTTAGAATGCTCAATCTGTAATACAGAGGCTCAGAGTCAGGGTCCAGCATCTATGATTTAAACCCGGAGTCCATCTTGTGCATGCAGGTTACCCACAGTTCTGAGGTGCATGGAGGTGGGATGATGGTTGGATCTCAGGACTAGCTGAGAAAACACAAGTCTCAGGTTTGGGAAGAGAACCTGCCTCAAAGGGATATGAGGAGAGTGACAGAGGAAAACATCTGTTACCTTCTTCTGGCCTCTGTGCATATGTGTGTACTGGAGAGAGCTCACACCTTTAAAAACAAAACAAGCAAGCAAAAGAAATCCAACTACAATGGGATTGAAAACCTGGTGGGGTTCCTCATATGGTCAGGAAAATCCAGTCTGGAGAAGGAGTGGTTCCCTGAGTTCTGAATAGGTAGCCTTCCCAGCCATGGAGGCCTCTGGAAAGCACTCTCATTGCTGAGGAAGTAGCCCCTACCTGTGTCCCTTGCGTAGAGGGCAGCCCAAGGCCCAGGTGGCTGCATCAGGAAGAGGCAGAGTAGAGTAGGAGACAGGGTCTGATTAGTGCGGTCTGATGCCCAGGGCCTGCTGTGCAGGAGTTGGACTGTTTCTCCTGAGTGCAGACGGGGACCTTAGGAGAGAGGATCTTGGGCAGGGATCACCTCTAGTGGTTTATGACTCAGCTGCATTTATTTGCTCATTTGCACTTGTCTCTGTATGAGTACAGTTATTCTCCAAATCCCCAGGACCTAGCTCCTATCTGGGAATTTAGCAAATGGATAATGGCTTCCTTTTGATGTGTTCTTTGTAAATGATAGATCATTAACACCATTTTCTGTTTAATAAAACCCGATCATTCTACTGCTAGGAGACTGTGTGAAAAAGGAAGTGTAAATAGGCATTTTTGAAATTGCAGGACAGTATATTCTAATGTTGTTTTTTTAGTCTTTTGAAGGCAGCCACAGAAATGCAGAGTTTGACTCCAGAAAAGAATGAAAGGCTGAGACATAGAGAAAGTGAATTCTCTAAGTAGCAGGCAGAAGCTTCTGATGTTCTGATGAGATTATACGTAGTACAGCCACCATGACCTTTGTTTTTAAAAGTCGGCAGATTAAAGTGCTTATCCTGGAGCGTGTGGGAGAGCAGGGGTGAGAGGAAGATCACCAGCGCTTGTGTGTGTGTGTGTGTGTGTGTGTGTGTGTGTGTGTGTGTGAGTGTGGGGTCCAGACCAGGCTGGTGAAACCCACAGAAACAGCTGACCTGAACAACGGGGAACTCTTGGTCCCCAGACTGATAGCTGGGATACCAGCATGGGACTGATCCAGACCCCAGGAACGTGGGTTTCAATGAGGAGACCTCAGAAATCTACGGGACCTCCTGTAGTAGTTCAGTACTTATCCCTAGCATAGGTGTGGACTTTGGGAGCCCATTCCACATAGAGGAATACTCCCTGAGCCAAGACACATGGGCCTAGGCCCTATCCCAAAGGATACAATAGACTCTGATGACCCCCTATGGAAGGCCTCACCCTCCTGGGGGGGCAGAAAGGATATGTGATAGATAGGGTTTTAGTTGGGAGAGTACGATAGGGGGATGAAGAGAGGGAGTGGGATCTGGGATTGACATGTAAAACAATCTTGTTTTTAATTCAAATAAAAAAAAGTCTGCAAAGAAAAGAAAAGAAAAGAAACAAACTAGTTTAAAAACAAACAAACAAACAAAAATACCACTTTGGACATTATGCTTGCCTTTTTGGGACCTCACGATGTAAGAGTAGGCTTTTGCTGTGGATGGTATTTTTCTGACGTACAAGTATTGTTATTATTACTGAATACTGGCTTTCCCCCTCCTGAGTCTGTTAGAAACTGTAGCTTGTATCTGTCTGGGTCATCTTAAATAAAAGTTGGTTTGTTCTGTTTGGGGTCAGGGGCTGCTTTTGAACTCACAGTGTAGCTTAGGCTGGCTTTAAACTCCCTATCCTGTGCCATAGCCTCCCCAGTGTTGGGATTAGAGGTGTGTGCCAATGTTCCTAGCTTAAATCAAGCTGTATTTCCAAACCTCTCATAGTGAAGCCATAGCCCAGGCCTGTAGACATGCTCTAATGGTGTAACAGTCCCAGCCTAAAGAAGGCTCTTTTGTGATTATTGTTTTCTCCACTTTCACTTGGAAATTACCCTTCAGGTAATAGAGGGGTTTACATGTGGTGTATTAAGTATGTCTGGCTTTTTTAAAAGGTGAAAATATTTTTCTCTACAGAGACTTCAGCAACACAGAAACACTGTGTAGTGAACAAAAATATTATTGTGAAACGTGTTGCAGCAAACAAGAGGCTCAGAAGAGGTGTGTGAGGGGCTAAGCAGGGGTGGGGTGGGGGTGGGGGAGTGGAGGGCTGAGGGGGGGGAGTGGGGAGAGTAGGGAGTAGAGGGAAGGGGCATGTCTCCAGTCAGAAGGGCTCTGTGGGTCTGGGATCTCAGCTTCACAGAGCCTGGGAGTCACTAACCTTCCTCATCAAGGTAACCTGGATAGGAATGCTGTCCTTGCAGGGAGGTCATTTGTCTGTTTGCTCATCTTTTAAATACTCAACAAATAGCAAGTGTTAGTTACTGCCTTCGTGCCAGATCCTGTGCTGGTAAACAAGTGGGGGTCAGACATACTCACTGCCCCCTTAGGATTCAAGATAAATTCTATAAGGGACTTTTCATAGTGCACTATACATACCATTGCTGCTTTTGGAACCAAATAAATAAATAAATAAATAAATAAATAAATAAATAAATAAATAAATAAATAAATAAATAAATAAATAAATAAATAAATAAATAAATAAATAAATAAATAAATAAATAAATAAATAAATAAATAAATAAATAAATAAATAAATAAATAAATAAATAAATAAATAAATAAATGAAAAAAGAAAATAAAGTTACCATGTTCTGACTTGGCATCTTTTCCAGGGTATCCCCATCTTTTTTTTTTTTTTTTACCAGTACCTTCCAGTCTCAGCTCTTGAATATCCTGAACTAACTAGTTGTTCCCTGTTACCTTATCCCCAGAAGGCAAGAAACTTGAAAGTTTAATCTTCCTATGAACTCCTGCATAGGATAAGTTTATCTTGTTTTCAAGATTTCAAGATGGTTCGGAAATACTCACTGGTGCCCTCTAAAATGGAGGATCTAGACCTGAAGTTGCTATGATTTTTCTGCCTAGCCTCCCTCACCCTCCACATTCCCCGTGCATATCTTTCTCTGTGGCATCCACATGAGAAGGCCAACTCCTATAGCAGGCAGCAGGTGCTGTTAGGCTAGTGGACACTGACTCTGCCTCCCAACCCCTCAGGCAGCCTGGGTCCGCCTGTGTGGTGTGAGGTATTTTCTGTTCAAACTTGGAGGTTTCGTGTATTAAAATGATATATGTTCCTGTGGAATATGAAGGCTTCGTATAATTATTATTTTCTGCTGATTTGTTTTTATGAGACAGGGCCTGGCTGTGTGGCCCAGGCTGGTCTAGAGCTTGCCCTCCTTCTGTCTCCACCTCTCTCCAAGCATTGCGATTATTAGGCATGTGCCATCATGCCTGTCTCTAGTGATGCTTTTATTTTGTTTATTTTTGTGAAGAGGACTTTTTACATTAGTAGATATCTCAATAAATATTCTCTTAGAATGGGTTGCTTTCAGACAATACATGCTAAAATGTGCACAGGTCCAGCTGTGTTTGTGCTAATTCAGCACCTTCATCCATGGGGCTAGTGGGGTGGGTTGGGCAAGGAGAACTGGGTGCTCTTGCCATGGTATCTACACGGGCTGTTACTGTGTGACCGTTTACCCAGGAATGTTAATTAATGGTCAGATAGCGGAGGGAAAAAACTGTTTATGTAAGGTTGAGACCAGAACAATTCCTCCAGGGCAGTATCTCTCAAAACCTCCAATGTCCTATTCTATGTGAAGGCTTCAAAATGGGAAGAAGCCTTGTTCAAACTTGGCCATAGTCCCCACCCCTAATTTACTAATGTAACCAGGACCTTGGAGTTTAGTTTGTGAAAGCAGCCCTAAGGTAACCTCTGCACTTTATAAACATTGAGAGTGAGAACCATGGTAGGGGACCCATGTGGCATGAAATCACAAGAGTGAGGAGTGGTCATCGGTAGTGTTTAATGCCCAGGTATGTGCCAGAAACTTCCTTCTGCTGGTCTTTAGCACCTGAAGTTCTGCCTGGATCATTCTGCTTGGTCTTTTTCCCAGCTGCATTTTCATAATTTCTCAGCCCTCCTGTTCAAGTACGGGACGTACTGTCCACATACATTCCATTCTGCAGGCAGAGGCACAGGGAGAGAATGTCTGCCATGACCACATGGAGAGGCATGATTGTGCTTTTCTCTTATTTGGGTTAGCCAAGGATGCAGCGTGCACACCTTTCTGCTTATGTAAGGTCTGGATACTTGCTGGGCCCCTCCTGCTCTTGTTGGTGTAAGACAATAGTGTGTTTTCTTCCTCTAATGGCACTGGCTACAAATGGTTTTCTGTTTCATGCTTTCATAGGATGAGGGTAAAAAAGCTGCCCATGATTTTGGCCCTGCACTTAAAGAGGTTCAAGTACATGGAACAGCTGCACAGGTACACCAAGCTGTCTTACCGGGTGGTCTTCCCTCTGGAGCTCCGGCTCTTCAACACCTCCAGCGATGCTGTGAACCTGGACCGCATGTATGACCTGGTTGCTGTCGTTGTTCACTGTGGAAGGTAAAGGTGGGCTGGGAGGCAGGTTTCTGTGATAAACATAGGGCTTGTCCCTTCATCAAGAGACATCCAGGTTTGGTGGTCAATGTCTTTACTGCTGAGCCCCCTTCCTGGCTCCATTTCCCCACATTCTATAGTAATATTTAAGTGAGACAGAGAAAGGAAGCCTCTAGATATGAAGAAGCAAAGGGTATAGTTAGAGTTTCTGTTCTGCCTGGTCGTACAACCGTTTAGCCCCAAATAAACACACAAGGACTTATATTAAGTGTAAACTAGTTTGGCCAATGACTCAGGCTTCTTACTGGCTAGCTCTCTCTTAATTATTAACCCATAACTATTAATCTATGTATTTCTATGTGGCCTTATCTTACTAGAGAATGCTGGTGTCCTATCTTCTGAGTAGCTACATGGCATCTCTCTCTGCCTCTTCTCTCTGCCTTCATCTCCCCAGAATTTTCCTCATCTGGTAGCTCCTGGCTACTGGCCAATCAGTGTTTTATTCATCAATCAATAAGAGAAACATATATACAGAAGAACATCCACCATCAAAAGGGCTTTGCACATTAAAAAAATCCCTATTTTCTATAATTATGGGGAAAGTATATTGGAAATTCACTTACTGTTTCCATTCTTCATCTGGTTGGAGTGGCTAAGTGGGTGGGTGCATGTTCTCTCTTGGAAGGGGGCAGGGTCCTCCCTGGGTGTTGGTTTTTGGCTTGCAGGACATCATTTTGCAAAAGTCATTTCCTCTCTGCTTGGTTTGAAGACTGCAAATATACATTTCCTAAGATGACACTGTTACCATATCAGGAATGGGCTGCTTAATTTTTCACCCAGCAATGGGGAGAATAGCATCAGACACTGATTTTCCATCTGACATGTCCCATGCTCTGTCCTGAGTATGCCACTTCAGGTTGCTAGACATTTTCTTCTCAGTAAGTTAGATTTATTTCTTGGCTAGTTGTGATCCAACTTTGTGCTCTGCTGAACAGTTCTAATGGTTATTTATCTGAAGAACATAGGGTCCCAGTGATCTAAACCAGGTTATGACCACAGGACACCCCACAGTGGGGTGGAGTGGAGGAGGTCTTGGGCAGGCAGAGTCTAGGGATGGGTGGGCCTCATGGGTGGGGATGAGGGAGTGGACAAGTGAGGAATTCCAAGGAGGTTGGGCAAGGAGGAAGTAGAAGTACCGATGAGCAGGGTACTTGAACACTTTTAGTTTAACTTTCTGTGGGGACCCAATTCTATTCTTGGGAAGACCACTGTGGGCAAGGCATCAACCTATTTAGCAAATCCCTGGGGAAGCCAAGCTCTGGAATTATCAGTTTCTTTAATAGGGATACAAGGTCTCAGCAGCCCTGGCCACAAGGGACAGTGAGTGCCAATCCTCACAAGTTACTAACAGCTGTTTCCATCTCCCTATAGAGGAAGTCCATTCCTTATTTAGGATGGGACTGATGTGTGTAGGGAGTGGATGGCTTCTTGGGGTTTGAACTCTTATTTCCTGGGTTCTATGTCGGGATCTGAACATACGAACATACCAAAACAGTGAACACAACACACAACATGGTTCTCACCAGCCCTTACCACGTTGAGAGTCTGGTGGGAAAGATGGGTAATGGGCAAATCCACAGTGTGGCTGTATCACCAAACTTAGCCTCTGCAAGGTAACTTAGGATGCTGATCTGAAATGGAAGCAGGAAGAGGAAAGAGAAAGGGATGAAGGATGCCGGTTCAAGGACAGTGGCCAGTGAAGGTTGTCTGGGGAGCTTGAGTGGGTAGAATGGGCCATGATTACAAATGTAGAAGAGGCCCCTTTCAGCCAGAGTTACAATAGATGAAGGGGCCACACACAGGTGGTGGGTACAAGAGCTCAGTGGGATGGAGCTCAGGAGAGAGAAGGGTGGGAAAGACAGGAATGATTAAACATTTACAGCATCTTGTGTGTGAAGAAAGTAAATGAGGAGTGAAGAGATTTCTTATGCATAAAGTGCTTGACTCAGAAACATGAGGACCAGAGTTCAGGTCTTTGGAAACAAGGCAAAAGCCAGGTTGGTGTGAGTCTGCCATCATCCCAGGGCTCGGGAGTTGGAAATAGAGGACTCCCTGAGCAAGAGAGCTATCCAGAGTAACCAACTGATGAAGACACCATATCAACCTCAACCTTGGGTGTTCTCTCTCTCTCTCTCTCTCTCTCTCTCTCTCTCCACACACACACACACACACACACACACACACACACGCTTGCATGCATGCTTGCACGCAAACACACACATGTGCATCCACATGCATACATGGTAAGTGACGAGGGGAAAAGAATTTAGACTTTCAATTTTAGTAGTATGTGTATTAAAAAAACAATTCTAGATTTAGGATTAAAATCTCCATTTTTGTATAAATCTAATGCAAGTATGTAGCTCCACTTCCTTCCATTGCTTTTCACAGTGCATAGTATATAGAGCTGTGCATCCTGGTGCATGTAAGTGTGCATCGTAACATACTTCTGAAACTTAAATCAGATCACACCTCTGCTAGAAATTCCCTGTCCCATTGACCCTCTCTCCCCTTTGTCCTCCCCTGGGGTTCCTTGGCCCCAGCTGTTCTGACTTCTGAATTGATTGGTGTGTATTTGCTTTGTACTCGACTGAACCGTCTACCATGCAGTCACATGACTTCTCTCCTCCATCCCATCTCCCTCAAGGATCACAATTCATTGGAGAGCTCTCCTTTTGTTGATCCTTCTTGAACAGCACTTCCCCAGCATCCTGCTCTATTCTCCCATGAGTTTATGTGGTTGGTTTGTTTATAGCCTATGGGACTCCCACCCCCACCCCAGGCACCTCTCTCTTTTGTACTATTATAACAAAGTTTTATATAACATGAGCCATTTGGCTCATAGTTTTTTGTTGTTGTTTTGTTTTGTTTTTTTAAATTCAAGGTCCTGTGGAAGTGCACCTGGATTGAACTTTCTTGTCACACCAGGGCATAGCAGAAGACACCATGTGGGAAAAGTGTACAAGAAAGGGAAAGGGAGCCTGATCTCTTTAACAAGTGCACTCTCTTGTGGGAGGAGGACCAAGAATTAAATGAATAAGTCATAAATTTTGAGGTTCACACTCAACCTAGAACACCAAGTCCCAAGAGAAAGGGAGGTACTTCGTCTTGCTCACTGTTTTTCTGGTGTGTAGTAGGTGTACAGTAATTCCTAGCGTTAAATGATTTTGAACCCATGCTTTCCCCATTGGGCCTCTGTTACCCCTCCCCCATAACCAGCATGGTGCCAGCACCCAGGTGCTCTGCGATATTTGTGCGCTTGACAAAAACTAGGTCCACAGTTCTTTTAATTTGGAAATAGCATCTCTATGGCACCCAGGCTGGATTTAAGTTCATACCTCAGCCTCCAATTGCCAGTGTGCTGGCTGTACTTGATGACATTAGATGTGTACATTGATAGTTGGAGTATTATAAAGTAGGACATGTTTACCTAGTGACTTTCTCTCCTTCATTCTTTTCCAGTGGTCCTAACCGTGGACATTACATCACCATTGTGAAAAGTCATGGCTTCTGGCTGTTGTTTGATGACGACATTGTAGAGGTGGGTATGCAGGTTGCTCTCCCATGGACTTAGGGTAGAGAAGGGATTTGGGGTGGGAACAGTTGTACATGGCACCTAAAATAGACCTGTTTTCCAGTAGTAAGGAAATATTTAGATTGATTATTGTAAATTCTACCCCAATGGTGGAATCTTTATTAACCCACTAGGGTAGCTGTTTTAGTAGAATAGACACTAAAGGAAATGAGCTCCAATGAACAGGAAGAATTGTGCTTATTCACAGACCCCTCAGATTACTATCTGAAAGATAGACTTCCTAAGTTTTTTGAAGGGCATCTATGTATAGTTTCAGTTAGATGAAAGGGTTGGGATTTTTTCCCCAGCAGTTTGCATCTGTTAATCTCTAGAATTAACTATTTGCCGTCAAAGGTTCCTAATTACATTTTTAAACCAACTCATGTTCTTACATTTAGATTTTATTTTCCCAAGAGTCTTAGGAAATAATAACATTATTTTATTTTTTTCCCTTCATTGCAGAAAATAGATGCTCAAGCTATTGAAGAATTCTATGGTCTGACATCAGATATATCAAAAAATTCAGAATCTGGATATATTTTATTCTATCAATCGAGAGAATAACTTAGTGGAGCGTGGGACTAATTCAAGCGGGGAAATTCTCAAAGCACTATAGCCTTGTTTCTCTGCAGACTTTCCTCTCCCCCACCTGCGGCCCACCGATGTTATCACTGATGCCCACTGGTCTGGCAGTGTTAAACTTCCTTCCTTTGTGTTTTTACATGCAGCACTACTCCTGGGTTTCTTCTGGTCTGAGGTAGAGTTAACTGCAGCCAGATTCTAGTCAGATTTTTATGAATTAACTTGTTAATTTGAAGATGGAGGTGAATGTGTTTGTCACATCTGGCTAAGCTAGAGTGACATTTTCTGTAAATGTCACAGCCCATTTTGAGTGTTTGTTAGATTTCCTGAATGGTTTTCGGGGGTCTCCTTTCCATGCATTCCTTTGACATGTCCCTGGGAGTGTTGCTACTAATTGTTAGCTTGCCTGCCTGATGGCAGGAAATAGATGTTCACCCGTCAAGGCTGCAACCATAGCTTTAAATTTGTGCAAGCGCAAATGTTTAAAAGTGAGTGACGTCGATGCCGAAATCATCCTCTGCATTGGAACAGGGTGAAGCAAGGCTGTTGATGGTGGCCAGCATTTGCACCCAACAGTGCTTACCTAGCTGGTTGAATCCCAGGGGCTAAGACTGTGGAGCTCAGGGCAGGCAAAGCCAAGAGGAAGATGTTTTTGTGGATAATGAAAAGTTACTTATCTTTCTACCAAAAGCCAAGTTTCAGGAAAACAATGCAATGCTGTTCATTTTCAGTAACATTTTTCTTCTGTCAGGTCCTGTAGTTGTATTCTTCTTGTATCTGGCATTGCCTAAGCTTTTCAAGCTGTCTTTCCAACCCTGCTGATGTTTTACAGTCAGTAGTATCAGGACTGAGATACCAGTTGGCTGCCTCTGGCACATCTCTCTCTTTAGCCAGTTAATACCAATATCCTTCCTAGATGAGGAACATGAATCAGAAACTTGGTTCACCTTGACAGCCATCAGCAAATTGTACAGCATCTTTTTTTAAAAAACATACTCAGTCTGTTTACGGGGGCACTGGTGAGTTCCAGGGCTAAAACAAAACTCTCCCTGAAGGGAATGTTGGAGTTAGTGGAGTGTGAGATGGTCACAGGAAGTGTTGGGGGTGGGTGGTGGGGTGAACAAGATGGCGGCTGTTTCTCTTCCTCAGATCCCTAGAATGCTTGACAAGACAGTTTCCCGGGAGAACCTCATCTCACTATTTTTCCCTTTTGTTATGTGTGTATTTATTAGAGCATTTGAATATTGGTACCTTTTATTAAAAGGGTTGATTTCATGTTTTACTGTTGAGTTAATCTTAGTTTTCCTACAAATACTATGAGTCATAGATCTTGGTTTCCTTTGGGATGTCAGTTGACTTCCATACACTATAATATACTGTGAATGTGTTATGTTGTGACCTAATACATCGGCGAAGGAACATGCAAACTCTTGGCATAATGTGAACTAAAACTGTAACTGAAAACGTCAGTGGCCATTTTGCAGCAATGAAGAGGATAGCACTTTATCTAGGCGAAAACTGGACTTTTTATTTTTGAAATATCTTGAACTGTTTATGGCTCAGAACTTAGGCATGCCGACACTTCATTTGTTCATGCTTGAAGGGAGATGTTTCACTCTTCACTGGAGAAGACGGAACAGGGTTATTTCATGTAATTGTCTTATGCAAGTGGCCAAAATGGACCTTGCTTTGGTTAGAGGCAAATGGATATTTATTAATAATACTTTGTCTTTTTCCCCCTCCATGAAGCATATTTATTGATCACTTTTACCTTCGAGGTGAACCTTTATTCTTTAAAGAGAAGCACTTTCTAAATGAAAGTGATTGATGGAGGGAAATGTTTGTACCATATACAGCCCAAATATTTTGTGGGTTACAAAGGTTAAGAAAATGGTTACTGGTTTCTAATATATTTGGAACTAATCATAGAGCAAGAACTATTAAAATTACCTTTGAAACAACTCTTGAAGCTAATTTATTAGACCGAAATGTTTCAATTGGAAGCCCAAATGCTATCATAAGGTTCGGCACATTTTCTTTTCCTTTTTCTTTCTTTCTTTTTCTTTTTCCTTTTTTTTTTCTTTCTTTGGTGAGCATGTAAAGTTTTCCCCAGTAATGTAACCAAAGTCATTGCTTTTAATAGAAAAGGTAAGTTAAAATTCAGTATTCATGAAGAGTTTTTTGGAACAGAAAGAGATAAGCATGAAGACTATTGTACTGACTTTCAGTTGGTTGCGATGCAGGGAAAAAGATTGGAGAAGACCAAATATGAATCTCCATCAACACGCTATTAGTTTCTAAAACATAGGACTATCTGGTAATTATTTCCTTCTTTTTCAGTAGAAACAAACTGGAGGCAGCTCTGTTCCACCCCCATCATTTTTCTTTTCATGGAGAAATCATGTTCTCACTTGCCGTCCCTGGTTCCAGCATAAAGCAGGGAATGACAGTGGCGGTGGGACACGTGAGACCCCTCCAATGTCACAGTGATAGCACAAAGACCCAGCAACAGTCCCCTAGATGGGGTTTGTGGGTTCTTTCTCCAGCAGGAGTGAGAAAGCCTGCTGCCTTTCTCTTAATTTCTCTAATTGCTGGGTATTTAAAAAGAAATGACAGTGTCTTTAAAAAGACTTAAAAACTTTTTTTAAAAAAATGAAATGTTTGTTTTATTGGTTACTTGCTAGCTTAACATCTAGAGTATGGTACAGTATGCTAAATTTTTTTGTTTCAAAGCACATTTTAGTAAAATGGTGACATGTATAGTGCTGGTACATTGATGTGTTTTTCCATTCCAAGCCATCATCAGGTAGACTGGCTTGAAAAGAGCCAGGAATAATACAATCAGGGTGTCAGTCTGAATAGGAAGCCATTCCCATGTGGTTTAATGTCCTGGTTATATTTTGGGCTTAACATAAGATGGAAAATGACAGAAATGGTCCCTGTGCATTTGTTTTCATGGGTACCCTTAATCTCATGGGCATGTTTAACTCGAAAGTGTGTTCTAACTGGCACATAAGGCTTATTTTAGATACTGGAGTGTAGCTTTATTATGGATGGATTTTATCTTTCAAACATTTCATTTTGATCAATTTTGTATATTCATGTGTATTAAAATATCGTGCACTAAATGTTCTCTCCTGGTTTGCTATTACCTGGTCAAGGCATTGGCCAGCACCATTGTGATTAGCTCATGCGAATGGCATGGGCCAGAGGAAATTATTGCCTATTTTTCTGCCTAATTAAACTTCTGTTCTCTAGTATTACATTAACTTATTTTTGGCTTCTATTTCTGTAACCAAAACAGTTACTGTATGTGTGTGGCATACACTTGATTTTGTTGCTTTAAAAAAAAAAAAGCTTGTAGTTTTTATTTAAAATAATCTGTATCTTAGTTTGTTTTTTTTCCTTAGTGTAACCAACTCAAGCACTTTAAGCAATGCTGTCAATCTCGTGAGATTTCATTCACTTCAACACTCTGCCTCTAGAAGCATTTGCAAGAAAGATTAATAAAATAGGATTTCTCTTCCTAGAGAGCCATATTAAGGACTGTCACACATGTGACCTTAGGTCCTCGACATCACAAGTGAGCCAGTGATGAATTCCCTGTGCAGGGAATCATTCTGAACCAAGTCTTGAAAATGCGAAGGCGATTCTGCTTATTAGGTTATGGAAAGGTAGTAGCTCAGTTGAGGCTAGTGAAACCCATGTCCTGGACACAATGTACTTCATTTTGTGTAACAGAAGCCACAAACTGCTACTGAGGAAACAGCACACTGTGAAAACCAGTGGCAAGAATGTGGGCGGCAGCTAGTTAGACTTCACAGTAAACTTCTTGTATGGGATCTTACTGGTTGTAAGACACTATTCCTAAAATAAGGATGTGGGCCCCAGCTCTGGGGTCCCATCAGCACTGGTTTCCAGGAGTAGGAATGTTTTCCTAGATCTGAACCTTCTGGCCTGATTTGTGGGGACCCTTCCCTTAAAAATCTAAGCTGGATGCAGTCCACTTCCTACCCACATACATGAATGAGTTTAGGTCCTGCCCTGTGGTCAAGAGTAAAACCCACCATTGTCACTGTCTGGGCTTTTCTTACCAGCTCATGATTTCAAGGGGGTCCATGTGTGGACTAGAAATTGTGACCTAAGTCCATGGCTAGGCCTCAGTATGGAAAGACAACTCTGCAGGCCAGGAGCAGAGACTCAGGATAACTGTAAGTCTCCCTGTTCCTGCATCTTCAGCTGGGTTCATGTGCTTAAACCTTTCTGGGCCAAGCAGACTGTTGGGGAAGCCCTTGACTTCCAGGACAGCCAGAGGAATAGAGGATCTTGGGAATAAGATTTTCTTTCCTATGCTTTGTTGTCTTCCTCTGTCAAATGGGCTTCTCTACAAGCCATTCAGGTAACTATTTCTGGAGAATGGGAAGCTTCTCTCTTCATCCAATGTTCTTCTGTTTTCATTGATGCTTAAAACAACTCTATAGGGCTAGAGAGACCACTCTGTTTGATGACTTATGAAATAGGCCATCTGAAGAACCTGTCTTTGGGTGAGGGCCTGTGTAAGCTGCAGGCAAATAAAGTCATGGGTTCTGGCGAAGAGTAGGGGAACAAGGTTAAGACTCATTGTTACTTAGCTTCTAGCCTTGGGTACCCTGCCACAATTTGGGTTTGGCGTCCTCATCTTCAAGGGGATGAGATTGAACTCAGGCCTTATGTATCATAAGCAGTTACTATACCACTGAGCTACATCCCATCCCTGTCCTGAAAGACAGATGGGACCTAGGGCACAGATGCTTAAGGGGCACAGAACACAGCTGTAAAGTGACAAAACTATTAATAGCTAGTTGCTCAAAGAAGTCAAGCTGCAAAATCCTCTGGCATGTACGTATACACACCACACATATCACACACACACATCACACACACACACACACACACACACACACACACACACATCTCTTCAGAGTGGATAAACATCAGCTCTTCTGGAGATGAACTCTAACATGCAGAGACCTACAGCTTTTTCTCTTTTCCTACAAGAACTCCTAGGCATAAAGACAACACTAAAATGAGGTGAGAAAGGGGAACTCTCTGTTGACAGCTGGGAGCTAGCCTGAGAAGCTGCACCTTGAAAGCTGTCAGGGGCTGGCCTGCTTCTCAGAGCTAGGCCATGGGGTCTTCTTGCATGCCACAAGCAATCTCACAGAACAGCATCCTTGGACAAAGTCATGCTGTGACCATGATGAAGCCAGACAAGAAACGTGTCAACTTCATAATTTTCTCTAAGCACAGGCAAGAACAAGGTCGTGGTGTAAATGGTAAAATGCTAGCATTGCTCTCTGAGTCTGAGTGTAGGGGGGCGGGCCTGCTGTTTTACCAATTCCCACTATATCTCCTCTTGCATCTGACCCAGATAAGAGTAGCAAGATATACAAAGAATCAATCCTTCCTCCTGATGGTACCCAATCCTGTAAAGCCATTGTTGCCCTCCTCCAGGGTCCCAGCCAAAGCCCCAGGTGCTAAAGCTCTGAAGGCCCTTAGTAGATAGATGCCCAGGGTTCTGCATGATACATGGTCTCTGTTGCAGCCAGCTCTGGACTCATCACAGCACCATAATTGTGTATGTAGTCTGGCTGGAGGGTGAAGACAGGAATGGGTTGGAAAGAGAGGTAAGCTATTTCCTGTGCCTTGTTGATCTGAGAGCAGGAAGGAAAAAAGACTACAGAATACACTATGAATGTGGCGATTCTTGTCTAAGGGCTTGATTGTATAGGCCCAGACACCGAGTCTTCCAACTTTGTGTAAATAATGACTTTAGTTCTCCCTACCCTGTAGCAGGAGATCAATACAACAGAGTTATGATGAATAGAAACCTTGGAAAAGTGCATTGGTAAGAGCCTCCACACCCACTCTTGGAGTTCCTTTGGCTCAGATGTGTCTGTCTTCAGAACCTTTCAATTTGCTGAGACACCCGAATCCCCACTGGAGGACCTGAACCCCAAGTGGGGACTTGAGAGCCTTCCTTGTGGAAGGCTGGAAATCCCACCCAGCCTCAGTAGAGACGGTCTCTCCATAACCCTAAGCTTGGACTTGGATCAGGTGACTGTGGGGCTGACTCAAGACACAAGTGTAGGGTCTGGTGCCCTCTAGTGAGAATGGCCTAAAACACCCCTGAGTTTTCTTAGAAGAGCAGTTGCACAGGTGCTCGCTTTTGTTCAGACACAGTCTGTCTATGGATTTGCTGCTAAAGGAAAACCCCAAACTAAAATATCAAATCAATGACTGCTGCTGTGAAAACAAGCTGAGGCTGAAGTCAGGTCACAATCACCTTCCTGCAGAATAAGGTGATAGAGCAGGGGATGCTGGAGAAGACAGGGGCCTCATGGAGTCTGTGTCCTGCTTGTCTCTCAAACCTTGTGTCTCGTGAGGCTCTTGAGAGAAATGCATGCATGGTATGGATGGGGTCTGAAGTTCAGTGAGCTGAGATGGAAAAGTGAGAGATAATGATTCCACTTGTCACCACCACAAGTCCTCTGGCAAAACAAGATGCCACTACACCACTTTCATTTAACTTGTTAACGTTACAAAGAAACAACCTCCTGGTAGAGGAAGGAAGGAAAGGGTGTCAGGGTGGGGACAGAGATAAGAAATGGGTGGAAGGCTTATATCAAAGACCTAGGGGCCACTCTCCAATTTTAGGAAGTGTTGGGAGACAGCCTAAAGTAAACTCACAAAGGGAACACAGCACAACTGCAATCCTGTCCTGCCAAGCACCGATTGCTGCTGTTCAGCTTTCTGATACAATGCTCTACAATCTATGGAACTTTGCTACCAAAAATTTTATGATGAGCCAGTGAGATTGTTTAGTGCTTGCCTCCAAGCCTGTCAACCCATGTTAGATCCCTGGGACTCATATGATAGAAGGGAAGACCTGTTTGCTCCAAGTTGTCTTTGACCTACACACACACACACACACACACACACACACACACACACAAGTGCACATGCACAGGTATGTATATATACACACTGTACACTCGCACATACACAGACAGATGAACATAAGTGCCTACACACAGACAAAAATGTATATACACATGCATGCACACAGAGCACACTGTAAACACACACACACACACACACACACACACACACACACACACACTTAGAGTATGTAAGACCTTCTGTAATGTGGTGCAGAAGAAACTGTTTACTGTTAGAGAATTTCTGACAAATTAGTTTACCAGAAACTTTGGAACACTCCTACTACATTATTTTTTGCCAGAGACACTTATTTGTCACTGTGTCTGCCAGTTCTAGGCCATATAATAGGACTCCGACACATGAGCCTCATAACTTGTCTCTTCTTCATGTGCAGACACGGTTGGGGGAGTGAGGCATCCAACAAAAAGTCTGCAGTGACATTCTGGGAACAGGAACTGTGAAGAAGCGAATAGTGAAAGTGTGAGAATATCTACCAAAGACTTGCAAAGCTGAGCTGAAGGGAACAGGGAGAAAGAACATGCTATTCTTCTTAGGCATGAGTAGTTTGTGACTTCTGTCACATGAAAATTTAGAGGAAGCTGCCTCATGGAATTTATTTTAAAAACAGACTTCAGGGAAAATATATTTTATTTATAAGAAAACTTCCTTATTATGGGGAATTAAAATGCATAAAGGTAGACTAGAATACAGAATGAGGCTGAACCCACAGTTACTACAGTTCTTGTTGGGGTCAGAGCCTGGCATCTGGAAGGCTCAATAGGTTGGACTTAAGCCGGAGTCCCCACCATGCTAATTAAAGAGGCAATAGTGAAAAGGAAAGAAAGAAAGGAGACCTGGGCAATGTGGTCATATTGGGAAGAACAAATAAAGGGGCCCAGCGGCCTCCAAGTCTCTCTTCCAGGATGGTGACTTGATATGTAGGCTTGAATTCAGGGCAGGGGCCTGCATGGATAAGATGTGGTTCTGCTCCATGTTGTCTTGCCTCTGCTAAGTGGTCAGAATTGTGTGAAATCTCCTCTTGGGAGGCGAGTTCCCCCTTGGGCTGGGACTTCAGCCTTTCCCTTCCCTGAGGGGATTTCAGTTCCTTGGTCATTTTCTCCCCAACAGCAAAGTGCCTCTCCTTTAAATATCTCCCCTCCTTTCAGGAGGTTGCACCACCACACAGGGCAGCAGGCAGCCAACTCTGGCCAACCTTTCTGCAGACTGAAAAGGTGATCAGAAAGGACTGGAAAATCACCCGAATATCAAGTGTCCTCGTCTCAGGCTT